CCTGAGTAAATTGTTTTGAACAGAGGTGAGCCAACTTGATCTGAAATTTAATGAACGCTTATCTTGCCCCGAACGCTATATACTAAGGCTATGGATGGAGTTTTACAAGCCCACGATCCCCGTCATGCTTTGCAGGATGGAAAGAATTCTGAGCACCTTCTCCATTGCAACAAAAAGAGTCTTTTTGGATGTGTCTCCAGATCCAGATATAAAATAGACACAACAAACTTCTGTGGAGCAAACAGTACTAGCTGCTCCTCCGCTGACCACAAGGCCACGGCTAACGGCTCTTGCCAAAACACAACATAGATGGAGGTCAGCTCATAGCACAGCAGCAATAGGAAAGATTACAGCAGCAACCAGCTGCATCTCTACCAGCAGTCAGAGAACTAGTCTCCCTGGATAAGCTGGAGTGCCTGACCAAGTCCTTGGAAGAATATCTAATAAATTTAAGAGGGTTCCCAGCTGTGCATAGCTCAACAATAATGCCAGCAGGCAGGATGATACCAAAACCTCAAACTGAGTCTACTCTAGAACTTTTCAAGGTCCAGGGGAAGACTCCCAACTTGAGCCACAACTGGGGCAGTGTTGCAAATCAGGTAAACAGCATTACTCAGATGGTAACTGGTCAGGACAAATCTGAATCACTATCTGAGGACTTACTGATGTAACTGGAGATTGATGGAGATGAACTTGTGGAAAAAGCCACGTCCTCTTTTAAAGATTTACCCAGGGAGGAACAAATGACATTTATCACTAGCCTGGAAAAAGTGAGGACCGACTTAATTAACATCACAGAAGTCCCTATGTCACCTCCGATTCCTCATGCCGCAGAGGGCACCACCCTGCCAGCTGATCCTTCATCGATCATTGAATTCTCCATGCCACCCTCCATTCCTTTAGCTCCCCCTGGTCTGCATCAGCCCCTAGTCAGAGCATCTACCCACCACTACTCCATTCCCAACATTGTGGGAGTGGCAAAAACCCATCCAGGAAGACCCACAGCAGATGATCTGCTATTTCATTACCCAGTAAACTCCCTTCCAGAAGCCACAAATCTAGACTTCCTTACCAACCTACAAGCTGAGAATTGACTGAATAACTTCTCCTTAATTCCTGGAAATAGAACATTTAAAATTCTTTCACGGAACATAGCAGCCTGGAAGGGTAAATGTAAATATAGCTCATTTGTGAATTACATCAAAAATTATGATATACTATTACAGGAAACATAGGCTGTAGACCAAGTACTGCTAGGAGGGTATAAGGTGTATTGAGAACCTGCAATTGCCAACTGCTGGCCTAGCTGTAATAGTTAACACTTTCCTATGTTCAGAGTATATTGGATTGCCTATCTCTCAATGTCACCAAAACCTCAAATTGGCTATTAATATTTTTACTCCTAACAAAGTATTGCGTCTAGTCAACATATACATACCCCCGGGGTCTTAATAATCTATAGTGGTTTCAAAAGTGTAACTCCTTCACCAAATGCATAGAGGACCTTGAAAGGAGGTCCCCACCGGCTGAGTTCATCTTGGTAGGTGATTTCAATGCCAGGGTGGGAAAAGATGATTGGATATTTCTGAAACCCTCCCAATTTGGGAACTCGTCCCATCCTGATACTACTCTATGCAGATGATGCAGTGATCATTTCCCGAACTTGTCTAGACCTAAAATGCCTCGTTAGTGGATGTGCAGAGTATCTGAGCAAAAATAAAATGCAATTAATTTATAATAAATCAAAAATACTCATTTTTGCCAAAACATGGAAACAATTTCAATAGAACCTAAATGGAAATCACATAGAACAAGTTAAACAGTATGAGTACTTACGTGTTCTTTTTCATCATAAACACTCTTGGATCCCCCATCGAAAAATGGTTATAAACACAGTTAGGATCACTACTCAATCTATTCTAAGTTTTTACTATAATTCAGGAAATCGGTTTGTCCCAGCAGCATTACAAGTTTTCAAGTCCAAAATTCTTCTACAAGCCCTGTATGGTTTCCCAGTTTGGGTAAGTGCTATGGATAGATTGAACAGCTACAATCCTCCTTCTTATGCAAAGTGTTAGGACTACCTAGATGCGTGCCCTACTTGTTGCTCTGTCTAGAGTCTGGAGAATCTTTAATACAGACTGTAGCTTGGTTGAGATTCTTCAAGTTTTGGTTAAGTATCTATTATAATTCAAACATGGACAGTTTATTATACCAACTTCTGCGGGACTCTGTCCTGCCTTTTGCATCAATGATCTTTCAATATATTTCCAGATCAGTTCTTGAAGACATACGCATTTCGATGCAACACAATAATTGCTTAGAGTGGCTGCATCCAAAGTCAGCATGGCAATGATTATGTCATTGGTAGCAGAGGAAGGAGTTGTTGCTTCAATATCCAGATAGTCGTGAAACTTGTCCAGTGCTTACCATTATGTTGAAAGGCAGCATCCACTTGAGATCCCATGTTATCAAAATCCATCACTATCTTCCTTGGATAGCCCCCCTCCATGGAATTGGTGGCTTTATCATATCTAAAGAAAGAACAGGTTCAGAATGAATATAGATGAAATGGTGCCTTTTCTGGCATGGCAGTTGTCAATATTAACATCACCAGAACTCAAGGGTTGAATGAAAAGCCTTTCCTTATTGCTTCATTTACTAAACATATTTGGGACTCCCTCTCTGCAAGCTGTTTCATGGTTTATGGGCAGTTAGGTGGGACTCGTCAGTCTGGGAAGGCAGCCCATCTAGGAGAAGGAAAACTCTGATTTCAAACCTCCACTGGCTTGTGGCTATATCCACTGATGGAAAAGGCTTCAGGAGTCAAAATCTGGAGCCGGCGTCCCCGAGACAGTTCTTGTCATTCTGTCAACTCCTGCGACATCGCTGGAACCAGTTGTATTGACTCTTGCCTTTCCATTGGACTATTTCAGCAACATGGAAAGGGGGGATTTGTTGGTTGGATAACAACCTATCCTCCATATTATTTTACCCAGGCTTCATGCTCTGGAGAGGACATTCCAGCTTCGCATACAATGTCGAAGTCCTCCATACAGAGCACATTACCATAGTCTCTCGAGACTGAAGGATGCCTATGATGTGTCTATGATGAGCAATCAGCAATCACTGGCACCTCTAAGCTTGCCCTTTTCATACTGGAAATTATAAATACAGTAGGACTCACCTATCCGCTTGCTGAAAATAGTAAATGCCCCCCCCGAAATACAGTGGTGCGAGTGCACCATTTAACGACAAATCCGCATAGCGATGCGGATTTTGGGATCGTTTTTGCAATTGCATTGCAATGTTTTAATAGGTAAAACATCGCATTGCGATGATCAGTAAGCATTTCGCTTACCAATCTTCGCATTGTGATGTTTGGGAAACAGCTGATTGGCAGTTCCAAAATGGCCGCCGCATCAAGAAAATGGCCTCCTGCAGTGTTTTCGCGCCGATTCCTCACTTACTGAGGTGGTGAAAATGGCAGCCGTATGGGGAATCTTTGCATAATGGTGAGTTTTGTCCCCATAGGAACGCATTAAACAGGGTTTAATGCGTTCCTATGGGGTTTTTTTGCCCCGTATAACGACGTTTCTGGATAGCGACGATTTATCTGGAACAGATTATTGTCGCTATGCGGGGTACCACTGTACCTATTTATATTTCCACAGTGTATTTTCCAGAACTGGCCAATAGAGGGAGCCAGAGACTATGTAATGTATAGCATTTGATCTTTCCGCATTTTTCAGCATCTACAGTGGGGGCTTGGAACTGATCCCCCACAGATACAGCAGTCCTAGTATACATGGCTGGAACTTGAAGAATGGTACCCAGTCTTGGGTCCCCAGCGCCAAATTCTGGCGTAATAATAATAATAATAATAATAATAATAATAATAATAATAATAATAATAATAATAATAATAATAATAATAATAATAATAATAATAATAATAATAATAATAATAATAATAATAATAATAATAATAATAATAATAATAATAATAATAATAATAATAATAATAATAATAATAATAATAATAATAATAATAATAATAATAATAATAATAATAATAATAATAATAATAATAATAATAATAATAATAATAATAATAATAATAATAATAATAATAATAATAATAATAATAATAATAATAATAATAATAATAATAATAATAATAATAATAATAATAATAATAATAATAATAATAATAATAATAATAATAATAATAATAATAATAATAATAATAATAATAATAATAATAATAATAATAATAATAATAATAATAATATAATTTATTGTCATTGTAAGTATATACACAGTATACCATACAACGAAATTCACAGACACCCAGAGACCAGACACATGCACACACATAACATTCCCCAAACACTCCCCACCCACTAGAAGTCCCCCACTAAAAATACAAACATCTACACCTCAGTCCAAGTAACACAGTCCAACTAATTATTCACTACTGGTGGTCTTTAAGCTCATTATTAATTGCAATTATAGCTCTAGGATAAAAACTATTTAGAAAACGTGTGGTCCGAGTCTTAATTGTTCTATATCTTCTGCCAGACGGTAACAGTTCAAAAAAGTTATAAGCAGGATGGGAAGAGTCTCTCAGGATGCTGTGTGACTTCCTCAGACAGCGGGATGTGAAGATGTCATCCAGGGTTGGTAGCTGGAGCCCGATGATATTCTGGGCAATTTTAATGGTTCTCTGTAGAGCTTTTTTGTCCGCTACAGAGCTACTCCCAAACCATGCCAGAATGCCATAGGTTAGAACACTCTTAATGGTGCTACGATAGTAGGACAGAAGTAAATGCTGTGATATATTAGTGGCCTTTGCCATAAAAGTTATAGTTTTAGTTTTAGTTATAAAAACCCTTAAGCCAAGTTGGAGAGAAATACCTTCTGGGACTAAAATCTTCAGAATCCTCCACCTCCTTCTATAATGGTCAAATGCCTTTTTCCACTGTGATTTGCGCAACCTACTCAATCATACCAGGCTGGATGTTTGCAATCATTGACCCTGAAAGAAGGCTAAAAAGAGAAGACCAGGAACAGGGCCTTCTCCGTGTTTGCCCCCCATCTTTGGAATCAACTCCTGCCCAAAATCTGCCTGACCCCTTCACTGGGGAATTTTAAAGAGGTCTCTGAAAACATGGCTGTTTTTAAAGAGATTCCAATAGATTACATCAACAGAATGCAGATGTTCTTTCAGCTCTTGAATGATTTAAACTTTGCTTTTATTAATTTTTAAAGCTGTCTTTCTTTTTTTAGTTTAATTTGATTGATATGTTTATTTGATTTTCTGCATTGTTATTATGTCTTTGTGGTTGTTATTTAATCTGATACTATTATTTTATTACATTGTGAACTGCCTAGAGTGGCCTTGGTAGCCAGATGGGCAGGATATAAATTGAATGAATGAATGAATGAATGAATGAATGAATGAATGAATAAATAAATAAAAATAGTAAACAAACTATGTGCAGAACTTTAAAAAACTGTTACTTTTTGATTAAAATGAGTCTTTTGCCCCATTGGTTTCAATGGGTCTGCTCTGAAGATGATTAAATCTCAGTCCAATTAAGTCTGGATCTTAATCCTTTTTCTTTTCTTCATCTTTGCTTCTGTTCAACAGCAGTACATTAACAAGTGCCTTCTACTTTTTGTCAAAATACTAGTGGATGTACTTTGTCTGACTGACTCCTATTTAGCCATCCATGCACAACAGGCATGTGTAAAAATCATTTGGGCAGTCGAAAGTAGCTTGATGAGAACTAAGCATGCTTGATAGGCATAAGAAACTGAATAACTATTGCTGGTGGTTGGGGGGGATGAACACCCTAGGATATAAGGGTAATAAAATGGAATATCTTAGAAAAATGTGTGACTGACACACACACTGAAACAGAAGTTTTGGATTCAGGCTGAAGACCACATGAATTTAGCCACAACAACAACAACAACAACAACAACAACAACAACAACAACAACAACAACAAAGTGCCTCATCTTCAGATGAAAATAAGACTGTCCCCCTCCACCATTAGCATCTCAATGATTTGTTCAAAACTAGTGTTCAAGTGTTTGTCTTCAAAAACTGAACCAGAAACACACACACACACACACACACACACACACACACACACACAGAGAGAGAGAGAGAGAGAGAGAGAGAGAGAGAGAACACAGAACTTGCTGGTGATTTAAACAAGAAACAAATAACCCAGTCAAGACATGGAACAATTTCTATGAGTCTGCGGAGTAATACCCCCGGTTCCACACACCTATGTAAAATCATCCTTCCAAACTCACAAGCAGAATCAATACCAGCAGTAAATCACGCACAGTCCCCTCAGTCAAAGAGAAGAATGCTTATGAGGACAAGTTGGAGTTTAGAGGTTGCACATGTAATACATAACACTTCTCCTGTATTTTTCTGCCATTGGTTTACCAAGATATGTGAGGCTACTAACAAGCAAGATATCTGCTGAAATCAGACATTGAGGCTTCATGCAACAATGGCTGAAATCCAAGAGTAGGTTCACTGAATCTGTGGAATTTATGAAGGAGCTTGGTCACCAAATCTCCAGTGATACAATGGGCCTACTCTAGTTATGATTGATCCTTGTATTTCACCCACTATGTCATGACTCTTTCTGGTGTCATTTGGCACAACTCCTTTAATTCAATAGCAGGATGTCCTCTCCTTCACCCAACCAGATTGGTCATTTAGACTGAAATGATATGTTTGCAGTATGAGAAATTTACCTTTAAAAAGATAGACCATGTCGTCCTCTTCAACTTCATAGGCAGCGTCTATGCTGCTGCTCAGAGTGACCCAGAAAGAAGAAATGCTGTTTTTTTCAATCTCTTTTGTATGGGGAAACTTCCGCCACATAAAGCTGAGGGAGGGGGGGGAATCAATAGAAACATTTATTTGCCTCGTAATAAACCAACCCTCCTGCTAGGAATATTTTGTTCTTGCTATTTAATGATTAACTACAGTGTTCTGAATTCTGTAAACCCTACCTCATAGAGAAAGGCAGAGATGGTAAATTAAATTGTGTGAAATTTTCCTTAAGAACCTTGGAAACTGCCTTATATGTTGAGTTGCCATTAGGCGATCTAGCCCAGTACTGTGATTGGCAGTGGCTTTCCAGCATCCCAGGAGTTTTTTCTTATCTTTATCTAGAAATACCAGGGATTCAACCCAGGTCTCTCTGCATGAGTGAGCACTGCCCCCTCTCCAATTAAACAGCTGCTATTCCAGAATGAGTTTCCATCCAAGTACCAACTAGACCCAGGTTTGCTGATCTCTAGAAACCAAATAACATCAGGCACGTTCAGGATGATATGGTGAATGAGTGTCTCCATGGTCACAGGGTAGATGAGATCTCCACAGTTGAGATACAGATATCTGCTCCCAGAGGGGAACAGAAAGTTCCAAAGGCCTTGCCCTTCCAACCCTGGAGAGGTTGATAAAAGCAAAAGGGGGTTGGATCAGGAAGTGCATCATGGGTAGGTTGGGACTGGCTTTGGAGCTGCAGAATCCAAAGCCCTAGTGCAGTGGTTCTCAACTTTGTGTCCCCAGATGTTCTTGGACTACAACTCCCAGAAATCTCAGCCAGCTGGTGGCAAAGGCTTCTGGGACCATTAGTTCAAGAACATCCTGGAACCCAAGGTTGGGAACCAATTCCTCATCAGGAAGTGCATCATGGGTAGGTTGGGACTGGCTTTGGAGCTGCAGAATCCAAAGCCCTAGTGCAGTGGTTCTCAACTTTGTGTCCCCAGATGTTCTTGGACTACAACTCCCAGAAATCTCAGCCAGCTGGTGGCAAAGGCTTCTGGGACCATTAGTTCAAGAACATCCAGGAACCCAAGGTTGGGAACCAATTCCTTGTGGTTCCCAAACATGCCCCTGGCATTGGGAAAAATCTGTATTCCAGTCCCTTCCCTTCCCCCAGATTCTAATGGGAAGGAAATAATCAAAGAAGAAAAGAACGGGAATACTTAAAACCTTGCTTCTGCTTCCCTTCCACCTTGTCTGCCCAAGCCTATTAAGGCTTTGGAATAGGCAGCTCCTCCCAGGATTCCTTCCACAATGATGAGAACTGCTCTGTAAATCCATTGTTAGTTAATTAACTGTCAGGCAATGCATAGCTGGTGTTGGGAGAGCATAGTGTCTCACAATGCCAGCTTGATGTGCCCCCCCTTGCTTGGACCACGAGCCGCCAAGGCAATGCATAGCTGGTGTTGGGAGAGCACAGGGTCTCACAATGCCAGCTTGAGGTGCCCCCACCACCACCTGTGAATTTACCTGTCTTTGAAGAATAGTATTTCACCCCGTAGAGTAGTGACAGCATCAAAAGCCAGGTGTGGGTCACACAAATCTGTCAAAAGTATTACTTCTGGAATATTTGTTGGCAAAAGGTCATCGTCACTGTCACCACCACCGTCATAATCTCCAGGAGTTCCTTGGAGAAGAGGTCAAGAAGCCAGGAAAAACAGGATTTGGAAAAACATAGAAGAGAGAAGCTGAAAGAAGCTTGATTCGAAGACATTGGCCTGTCAGTTCCTCACATCCGAAACTGGTCTGACATAATTGCATCCTCTGTAAATCTCATACAGTTATTTGGAGCTGGATTTTTTTTAAAGGTTGAAACTCTTAGAATCCCCCAGAAGTCCAGCTCCTTGGAAGGGATACTTCTTTGGACAACAAGCCCTCTGACCACTCTTGCAGGGGCATTGTCATCACAACATGTAACTTTCAAGTTTTGCTGTTAAGAAACACTTGGGTGGATTTCACAGGGACTAGAAGCCATGTCAAGAATACTTCCCAAGCAAGAGAATCGGTAAGGGGCTCACAGTTCAGCTCCATACATGTTTACTCACAAGTAAACACCACTCCTTGATAAAAGCTGGGCTGGATCATAAACATAAATATGTATTTGGCTACATTGTCATAGGAGTAACATGGATCTTACGGAAGAACACAAAATATGAATTCATCATTCAGTTGAAACTGTTTGGGGGAAGTGTTGGTATACTGCAAGATGTAACATTCTACCCACACTGGGTTAATATCCTTAAAGACCTCACCTGTACCTTATAATTAATGAGGCTCTATAAAGCTTTGTCTGTCTCCCTCCCCTTTACCCTTCAATAGCGCTGACTAACAGAATGAGCTTTGTCTGGTGTGTGCTTGCCTGAGTTTGTGAGCATTGCCTGAGCTGCCGCCACCTTTAATTCCCTTTACTGTTTGGTATGTTTTGTAATGTAGTTTTAGTTGTTGTTGTTGTTTAGTCATTAAGTCATGGCCGACTCTTTGTGACCCCATGGATCAGAGCACGGCAGGCCCTCCTGTCTTCTACCGCCTCCCGGAGTTTGGTCAAATTCATGTTGGTCGCTTCGATGACACTGTCCAACCATCTCGTCCTTTGTCGTCCCCTTCTCCTCTTTCCTTCACACTTTCCCAACATCAGGGTCTTTTGCAGGGAGTCTTCTCTTCTCATGAGATGGCCAAAGTATTGGAGCCTCAGCTTCAGGATCTGTCCTTCCAGTGAGCACTCGGGGTTGAGTAGTTTTAGTACTTTTATTGCTTTCTTAGGATGTCCTGTTTACCCTTTTCCTAAGAGAACTAGATAAAGATTATTATTTATATTTTGTCTCTGTCTCTCAAAACCTTTTTTCCAACAGGAAGAAGATGCAGCTTCTTAGGCACAGCACCAAGTTTGGAATAGAGATTCTTCACCATATCTTTCTCAAGCTGACTGTTCTCCGGGTGGACTTGGGATAGTTTCTGAGCTCATATCTAATGCTACACATGATGCATCACCTCTAATAACTGTCAATGCAATGATTTTACCTGGAAACCATCCAAAACTGAGCATGTGTGCTTACCATAAAGCTGCTGTATGCCTTCTGTGTCATCTCTATGGAGCTTTAGGTTTTGTGGCTCCACGGGTTGGTAGGTTGAAAACATGAGAGCCCCCAGAACATCGGAATGGTGAAGACCCAAGGAGTGGCCAAACTCGTGAGCAGCCACAAGAAAAAGATTAGTTCCTTAAAAGGAGACAGGAAGAGCATGAACACTCATGAAATGCCTTTGGCCAGAAGATCATGAGAAAATTCTGGGAGATGGGCTGCTTGAGGAATGTGGTCTTTGCAACTCCCAATACTCACCTGAGATAAGTATTGGGAGTTGCAAAGACAGATGTTGCACCTCCATCATAAAGTGGAGAATGCTACTATCCATCATATTTTTTTGCCTTTTTTAATGGTTCTAAGCTGAAAGAAAAAGCAAAATGTCTTTTGACAGTTTCAGATCCGCACTTGTAATATCTAGTAGCCATTGTAGCCATTTCAATGAACTGCATTAATAAAGGAGATGACAGTACCTTTTAGATCCTTTGTCCAGGTTTCAGCCTCATCAAAATGGACATTTCCACCATAAGCGGGTGAAAATGCATGGGCCAGTTGCTGACCTGGTCCATCGAAGGGAATATAGTCTCCATGGGCTTAAAAGAAGGAAGGAAGGAAGGAAGATACATGAGTCTCCCAGTGAAGATATTGGATAATTGTTCCATGGCGCTTTTTTTGGTGTGATTTACTTACATCCAGAGGCAAAAGAGATCTCTATATCTGCAGAGTCTCCATAAACCCTGGTGAAGGTCAGTGGGGTCACATCACTCCACAGTTTCCAGGCTCTTTCAATTGCATGGTCAACATCTTTAGTATTCATGTCAGGTGTGTAGTTTTGAATTCTATAAAATGTACAGTTGTAAGTGCTTTGAAAGTTTTGAGGATCAGTATTTCAGCCCCTGAAGCCTGGACTCTTTCAAATAAAAAAAAAGGAGTGAGGCCAACCATTCTCTTTCAAGATAAGCAAGACTGGTCTTTTCAATTTATATGAGCTATTTTAAATCTGGGGATGTTTAAAGCCCTAAATGGTTTAGGACCTCGATATCTGGCAGAGCGCCTTCTCCCACCCAGATTTGCCAGAGTCACTCATTCCAGCCAGGCCGGGTGGCTGAGGGGCCTAACGCTGAGGGAGGTCTGGAAGGAAAGAATGAGGAACTGGATCTCCTCAGCAGTGGCCCCTCGCCTTTGGAACAACTTGCCAGTAGAAATCCGCCTGGCTCCCTCTGGGTGTTTTCAGGAATAAATTTAAAACCTGGCCATTTGGGCAGGCTTCCCCTCCTACCATATCTTAATTTCTTATACTTTCACCATCCCTTGAAATTCCTTTTTCCAAACTTTCACAAATTTGGCACAGAGCAAGAGCAGGCTGTCTGCTGCATCTGTCCTCAAATTGCTACCAATTTGAAGTTCAATTTGTTTGGGCTGTCCTCACATTTAGAATTGCCTTGTAGTATGTTGAGTTGCTCTGTTACAAAATAACACAAAGTGTTCTTTTTGATCCAAGAACATCTATAGTCAGCTACAATTCGGTCTAGGGTCTCACTGGTGTCTCCTCATTATCCCATAATCTAACCTGTCTTTTAGAAATGCAGTGAGGATAAGAGGTGATATAATTTTTTTTTTTACATCCTGCTGCTTGGCCTAGTAAGTTACAACTAAAGGAGGGCCATCTGAATCAATGTATGGA